AACTGAAAAACTGAAACTGCAAATAAAAAAATAGTCCCCCAACGGTCAACAGCAACAACATCAACAACCCAAGCACCCTACAGGCTCTACACAAAAAGAAAGAGCGAGAGACATAGAGACTCCAAGAGACGAAGAGAGAGAGAGAGAGAGAGAGCCACAGAACCACATATAAGCCACATACTATATATATTATGTGCACCGCCAAACGACAACCGTAAATCTGCGGTATTTTTCGTGGGGCCGGCCATGAGGCAAGCACCAACAACAACAACAACAACAACAGTAATGGTCAGTGGCACCATCAGCCTTTGGGCCAGTTGGTAAGCTGGAAGCTGTAAACTGTAAGCTGGCTGAAAGGGCCAGCTTGAACTTTGGCATTGCCGTTGGGGGCTCTTTAATGTGGGCAGGACATGGCCTTAAACGCACACAGCAATAACAACAACAGCAACAACAGCAACAACAACAATTATTGCGATTTCTTATCTGCAGACAGAGGAAGATGTGGCAGCAAATGCTTGCTAAGAAGCCAATCGGTTAGATCGGTTGCAACGCTGCACCTGGCAATTGCAGTTGCTCACACGCGTGATTGACCCTTTCGGCCTAGTAGGCGTAGGATATGTTGCTGTTATTTTGTTTTTTTTTTTTTTGTTATTCTTATTTATTTGTATTTGTTATACCTTGGAGTATATTGACCAGAAACTTATCATTTGCATCTGCGTCAGACCAAGTCTTGAGCCTTGATACGCATCCAAGTGCAAGTCGCTGGAATATAGTCTATAATTTTTATGGATAGATTACTGATCATCTTTTCAAATGGTCAATCCACGACCATCTTCGCCTCCTATTTTCAGCTGGTATTCAATTGGTATTAGAATATTTCGCAGTTTGTTTTGTATGAATATTGTTTTGTTGCATTTTGGTAATGCCGTCGATGTGATTGTATTAGAGACTCATCACAATTCGCAATAAAACACACGTACTACATCCATTGTGTATATATGTGTGTGCCACTTTAATGTGCTATAAAACAAATGCAATAGTCCAAAGAAGATGTTGTATTTGTATATATTAACTTATGCTTTCAATCTATATATCTAAATAAATTAACAGCTTGAAGTTCACGGTTAGACTTTAAGCTATAATTGGATTTAACTTACACCACTTCAACATAGTTCAACATTTATTAAATAAATGCTATGAATTATGCAATTATACTTGTAAATATATATTTAGAGAGTCCCTCATAACTATATTAAACAATTTAGTTTTAGTATTTGGAATTATCACTAACGTTCAGTGACATTGAAAATGTTTTGATTTCGACAGAGCTTGTTTATTTCTTACATAAAGAAAACCAAAATTGTAAGCTTACTCTTGACATTGATAACCGTTGCCAGCAGCGGTTTATTTTCAGCTTATTTTTTGCATACTAGTGCTCATTAAATACTAATCTGTAGATTCAATCTTTATCCATAACACTATCAGTAACACTATCTCTATCGCTTACAGCTGTGCTCATTAAATTTCAATCCCTTAGATTCACTCTATGTCTGTCTCTGTATCCAAGTTCCTTTCCCTATATATATGTATATATATTTTATATATATATATATATTTATATATATATATGTATCAGTAACGATCCACCTAATACTGCAACTCAATTTATGTTCTCAATTTTGAGTACCGTTCGCTTTATTGTCTTTGCCTTCTTGTGTGTTTTATTGTCATTGTGGCTTATCACTTGCGGTCTCACTCTCTTCCTTCAGCTGACTCTCAGTATCTCCCATCTCTCTCCCTCTCTCTCTCTCGCTCTCGCTCTCGCTATTTCTCATTTGCTCTCATTTATTTCAGCGCTGCCTTATGCTCTTTGCCTAGGCCTCCGAATCTACCTGCCACAAAATTGTTGCCATATTTATTGATATTGGTACTGTTGCTGCCTGTTTATTGATTATCAACCAGCAAACAGTTTAATTTATATGACAAGTCATAAATTCTCTCGCTGAACTGCGTAAGTTTTTCATTTCAGCATATGATTTTTCTTGGCTGTTGTTTTTTTTTGCTTTTATTTATTGTTGTATCTCGTTGTAAGCATCGTTAACGTCACTTGCCGATGGTACAATGCGGCGTATACGCAATTTTGCAATGCTTAACATTATTTGTCTGTTTGCTTGCACATTTTCCGACGGCGTTTTGCGTTTCGCGCACGTTACATTTAAGGCGATTTGCTAAGTGAAAAATCCGTTGCACGTAATTAACGCAATTAAAATCAAAACATTAATGACCTGCGCTCGGCTCCACGACGTCGGCAGCGACATCAGCGCCGCAGCCAGAGCCGGCGTAGGCGTTGACGTCAACGGGAACGGTGACGGCTACGGCTACGTCGACGCCAAGCCGCTGCTCACACATACACCAGATACACACACACACACACACACACACGCATGCACACACACACACTTGCCAACAAATTTGGGCAACTGCGAAAGAAAAAATTCAAAACAAAATCAAGTCAAAATATTCTTCCACAGCTGCTTAATGTTGTTTAACTCTGCTGCATATGTGTATGTGTGTGTGTGTGTGTGTGTGTGTGTGTGTGTGTGTGTGTGTGTGTGTGTGTGCTGTGCTGTGCGAAGTAAAAAGCAGCTTGCCTACGTTTATGGGCAACAGCTCTAAAAAAAAGTTAAGAACAAATAAGTAAAAGCCATGCCATTTTGTGGCTCAGCACAAGCCAAATGTTTTTGTGCTGCCAACGTTGACGGCGACGTCGCTGCGCAGACGCGTATGCATGGATGTGTGTGTGTGTGTGTGTGTGAGTGTGTGTGTGTGTGTATATATGAGACATCGCCAAGTGCGCAGCTGCCTGGAGAAAGCTCTTACGCTCTCCGCTATAACATGTCTCCATGTCTCCATTTTTCTCTGGCCTTTAAAGTATCTCTCTCTCTCTCTCTCTCTTATTTGCTGCTGGTTTCCTCTCGCGACGGGCTGCCAGCACCAACAAAAATGGCAGCGTTGAAATATTTAACGTCGCTAAGTATACCACAAAAATATTTGCCAAAAGCCTGTGCCACCAGCAACAACAACCACAACAACAATTGATGTAAAATTTAAAGTTATTGCAGCAACACAAAAAAATAAAGCTGTTGAAAATGAAAATATTCTGCGACAGCGAAGCTAATGCGAGGCGTTGCTGCGTGTGACAGCAGTCACCGTATACCTCATTGTGTGTGTGTGTGTGTGTGTGTGTGTGTGTATAAAAGAGAACGGGTGTGTGTGTGTCTGTGTGTGTGGGCTGAGCACTTAAAGCTTTAATTAGCCTCCCTAAATAATTATGTCGCTCTTTTGCAGTAACAATAACAATAACATGAACAGGCAAACTTTAAAGAAAAGTATTTCAACTAGTCGGAAACAGCTTTAGCTTCAGCCAGGCTGGTTAGGCTGGCTACCAACTTGTTTTTATCCGGGTATAAGGACTGCTTGCAAGGCGTTAAGTACATAAGATGCAGTTTAAAGAAACGAACATTTTGTGGAGACGATTGGACTTGATATCTAACAAAATAAATGAATGAATTTAATTGAATAATAATAAACAGAATGTCCTCAAAAAAGAGCCTTATTTGTGTGTGTTGAAAGGCATCTAAAAAGCAGAACAGAACAGAAACTCTCTTTTGCTTTGGCACTCAAATCTAAAGTTGGTCTTAAAGTTTAAGGATTATCAAGCAACAAAACCACACTAAGCATTGCAAGAAACATTTATTGAAAGTTGGCCAAGAAAGGCAACTAAATTGCATATATATACATTTGTTTAGATATATAAATATAAATGAAGAGGGCTGTATTTGCAAATGTTTAAAATGTATTCTAATCTGAAGCAAAATCATCAGAAATAAAGCGAAATTTATGACTACAGAAAATGGACGCCCTCAGGTATGCTTTGAACCCGAGTGCTCTGTGTGGCAAGTGTGTATTTTTGTGGGGTGTTGTGTGGGGTGCATCGGTGTCAGTGTGAATGTGAGTGTGAGTGTGAGTGTTCTTGTGTTTGTGAGTGTGAGTGTGAGTGTGAGTAGATGTGTTATCTTATGCATGCGCTTTGCGTTTGTGTAAATATTTGCCAAGCGTTTAGCTCTGGAATTGTAAACGCTAAAGCGAGTTTGCTAAAAAAAAGTTAAATTGCTGCAGTCGGAAGTATCCGACTGTGTAATACCCTAACACACTGTTTCTGCCGGATATGGATGAATGGACTTATGAAATTTGATGGCTCTAGCTCTAAGTCTGTAAACTGTAAACTTTCTCGATATTAAGGGGTGATATGCCAGTCTAGAACTCTTAACTGCAACTTGGTCAAACGCATGCACGACATGCTTGATTTTCCACGATATTTCATGCGGAGCCATCATAAACGATGAAAGTACACAGATAATACAAAATCAACAGAGCGCATTAACAGCAGCAACAAACAACAGCACTGGTTGAGCGCTAATATCAAGAATTATAATAACAACGCAAAAGTTATCCGCACGATAATTTGAATGGCAAATATTTCTATATTCAACTATAAACAATTAGTGCAAACGAAAATATAACGCGCTGGGTGGCCAAAAATTGAAATATTTGCGCAAAGCATCAACAACAAAAACAACCCAAACAAAGCAGCAGCAGCAACAGCAACAGCAGCAACAACAATTGGCCATCAAAATGCGCCTAAATACACCCAAAGCTTCAACGGAAGCCAAGTCCCCAGAAGCCACCCAGTTACCTATTCCCCTGACCACATCCCGCTGTCAAAGGAATGTTGCATGTGCAACGCATTGTGCGAGGATTTTTGTATTGCTTTTATAGATAGAGCGAGGAGCAGCCATAGAAAAAACAATAGAGAGGCTCGCTTTGGTTTGGGTTGCTCAAAACGTTGCAATTACCATGGATGAGTCCCCAGCGAGTGAGAGAATGAGAAAGAGAGCTATAAAAAGAGATTTATGATTTTGGGCAGACTTTCCACTTACCGCTCAGCGAATTGTGGCCGCAGGATGGCGCCTTGCCCAGCAGATAGTCGTCCTTGCAGATAAACTTATTGTCATCCAGCACGTAGAGCTGTTCGCCGGTGCTCAGCTGCTTGCGACAAATGCAGCATGTGAAACAGTTCAAATGGAACACCTTATCCCTGGGCTTTCGCACCAGATCCGATGGGGCGATGCCTTGGCCACAGCCGCTGCATTTGGTGCCGTAACGTCTTCGCGGTTAACGGAGTGGGGGAGATATAGAAGAAAATTGAAAAAAATGTCAGAGATCGTTGCAGATGCTGATTAATGCTGATGATTTGACAAAAGCATTGGTAAGTCGGCTGAGCAGTTACAAATTTGAGATCTGTCTAATTTGGAATTAATACATTTATTTAATTGGCATTAATCATAATATAGAATAATAGTCCAATTGCTGTGCAACATTTTTTCAAAATGTGTCTGTGAGATTGTCTAAGAGATTCTTAATGTAAAATAAAACAAGTGAGAAAGTTGAAGTCGGTCCTAACCGACTGCCAAATACGGAGGTTCCTGCTTATCTAGCCTCCAAGTTTGGCTTTAAAATGCATATAGGTTTTGGAGAATTTTTGGGGCATGACTGAAAGAATTATTGATGCAATTTCCTACTAATTCACCGTCCAAGTTTCATAGCTATTGCTTTGAATTGCAAGAGATATATCTGAAGATTTATGTGAAGGAGTTTACCAGCAAACTTCTTCCAAGTTTGGTGGCTCTATCTTTAAGTGTGTGCCAGATATGCAGTTCTATCGACTGACTTTTTCAGAAATATCGCTCTTGGCAATGAAAATGTTTTTATCGCTACTTAAAGACGGTTACCGGTAATATACCATCCAAATCTGACTCAAATCTTTGAAAGCGGGGGTAGGCTGAAGACATTGAAAATGGGCGTGGCATATGCTGATATTTGAAGAACATCGCCAACAACCTACCAACCGAATTTGATGACCGTATATTTAAGATTATGCGCGATACGTGGCTTTATCGATATATAATGATCGATTTTTATCGATTTCCTTGAATCCTAGTGGATTGCAATTTTTTACTTTGGCTGACAAGGCTTTAGATTGTTTGGATTAAGGATGACATTGCAGAATACCAACATTCTCTGAATAGCTCTTGGTATCAGACGATAATAGCTGCAGTCCGCTTGTGAGTGCGATTGTCCAAGGCTTACATAGAATCCTGCAGCCGATAGGGCAGAGGAGGAAGGCGACACTTGAGTTGGCTTGACTTGGCCAACTGGCGGACAGTCTTAACTATTGTTGTTATTGATTGGCTGTCCGAAAGCCGAGAGTTGGCAATTGCCCGATGCGCTTTGTAATTTAGCAGTTGGCAGTTGAATTTGATTTCATTTCATTTGTGCAGGTGTTTTGCATGTTAATTGATTTCGCTGCTCGTTGCCTTTTTTATACAATAGTTTTTTCTTTGTTTTTTTATGTATTTTTTTTTTTTTTCAATTAAAAAAATGTTTTATGCAAAGTGAAATCAGATGGAAGCGTACAAGGGACGTAGGACACACAGACAAGGGACAATAGACTAAGGACAATGGCTGGCACAAGTAAGCCAAAGAACTGAGTTAACATTCAACACTTGACTTTTATTCATCGGGTTAATTGCTCTGCATTTGCTTAGCTGATTGATTGGCTCGAGCATTGATTTGGCGGGCCCATTCCATTACCAATGGCAGACCTATTGCCTTAACTTCTTACTATTCTCTATGCCTTTGTACTCACCTGAAGAAATCGTTGCGACAATAAAGCTTAGACTCGCGGCTGAAACATTTGTCCGTCAGAGGCTGGAGGCATTCGCAGCATCTCACGCAGGACGCGTGCCAGGCTCTCTCCAGGACATTCAGCAGAAATTTGTCCAAAATTGGCTTGTTGCAGCCGGCACAAGGATCGCCAACGCCGACCGGCGGCTCGCTGCGACCTACAGATGAAGAAACATTTTACTTTTACTTATGAAATATTGCTGCTAAGTTTTATTTTATGATTTATTCAATCAGAACAAAATCGCGCTGAATTTAAGCAAATAAATACAAGAATACAAATTTTTACTGAGTGTAGACTTATTGCTATAGATTCTTCAGAAGCAGAAAAGCCGATTAGTCAATGCTTAAAACAGTAATGAATTCAAAATATATAAAGTAGACATAATTTTATTGCCTACTTCAAGTATATAAATAAATTTGAGTAGCTGTCAACTATAGACTTGCCCGTCTAAACTAAGTCGAAATTCAGAGCATATCCCTGTTTATTCCGAAGTCATTACTATATAGCATTCGGTGGGTTTAATTTCTTACAAATATAATGCAATTTTATTATTATTTTACAAATGATTTAAGTAAAACGAAATTTATTGAAGTATTCCAGGCGATTATGGTGCTGGTTAGGGGTACTTTCATTGCTCCAGCCACACCTTCAAATGTCGTTAACGAACTTGGCTTGAAGTGAAAAACAGAACTCAAATGCTTTTGTTGACCTTTGCTATTATGTGCTCTCAACTGTTGTGCGCCAAAATCCTTTGAGGCGCAAATTAGCACCTCGCTGGTGCCTCCAGTAGCTGACGTGTGGAGCAGGGGGAGAGGCGAGGCTGCTCATTAAGCTTGCACATGTGAACGCGTATTTGTGTGTGTGTGCGTGTGCGTGTGTGTGTGTGCGTGTGTGTGTGTGTGTGCCTTCGAGTAAAAGAGCAATTCCTGTCTGGACGCAAACATTTGACGTACACTGTGCACGCAATACACCATTTCCAAATGCACAAAATTTACAAATGCACAAAGTCAAGTTGGACACAAAATGTGGGATGGGTTGCGAGTGATGGGAGAGAAGGGATGGGAAGGGAAGGGATATTATATTACACCTGCAGATTTAGATAAATTTGGTAAACGCATACAGTGGCACAGCAACACCCGAAGGGCTGCCCACTCATTTGCACCTTTTTGCAAATTAAGTGTCCGACTGAGTGGCATATTTGCGCACAAGTGAATAACTTTGAATTGTGAATGGGGAAGGCCGAAGCCGACGCCGAAGTTGAAGCCGAAGCCGACGCCGATGCCGATGCTGATGCCAAAGCTAAAGCCAAAGTTGATGCTGAAAACTGAAAACTAAAATGCTGTGGCTCGATTCCACCCTGCGGCTAGATGGGGCTGCCTCAGAGCTGAGCTGGGGCGTGGCGCACACCCCGATAACTGCAACCGTATAATGATAGACGCCAAGCACGGCCCGAGGGCTGCTTCCACTTGCCAAGTGGAGAGACCATAGTTCACAGTCTCCATCTTCTTCTGCTCCTGCTGCTGCTGCTGCTGCTCCTGCATCTTCTTCTTCTTCATCTGATTCTGCTTTATACTCTTCCTTAATTCCCCCCAAAACTGAACCTCTTCTTCAACTGCTGTTGCTGCTGCTGCTGCTGCTGCTGGTTTAGTCAATCAGTCAATGGGCAAAGACAAAGGCAAAGGCAAAGCTTTGCTCTAAACGTTTTCCAAAAAATGCGAGGTAAAAAGTGTTGTGCCCACGGGGCATATTTAAGACGGGACCACAGTAAATAAATGTATAGGGCGGGGCTTGGATCAGCTCCAACTCCAGCCTCACAGTCAGGTATAAAGTCGTTTGCTTGTCTGTCTGTCTGTCTGACTGTCTGTCTGTCTGTCTGTCTGACTGTGAGTGCGTGTGTGTGTGTGTGAAATTTATTTTCATTCAAAAAGTTTTGCACTTTATATGCTCAAGCAGCCAGAATGAGTTGAGTCCAGTCAAGTGAAGTGCAAAGGGTTGCCAAAAGCGGTCGAGGGAAAAAAGAAGGGGCAGAGAATGGGGTTGGGGCGTTGTCCATAGCCATGCCCCCACATCCGGGCTAAGCTTGGGCAGTAAAATCAGCAGCAGCAGCAGCAGCAGCAGCGGCTTCAAGCGAGCGCATTAATAATGCTATTAAAGACAAGTTTCGCGTTGCTCATACGCCCCGAGTGACAGTAGCCGAAAATGAATGCATGAATGAATGAATGGGTGAGTGTGTGAGTGAATATTTGGACAAATGATGAAATGAACAAGCTGACAAACTGACAGCCTCTGCTCTCCATTATAAATGAGCGACTGACACACTGATTGATTGACGAATTGACTCATTTTGCAACAAGCAAAGAGCGACAGACCCAAGCCCAGCGACAGCAATTCAAATATAATGCTGCAAAGCGGAGTTGAGGCGAAGACACGAGGACCACAAGGAGTACGAGGAGCACGAGCAGCACGGGGAGCACGGGTAGCACGAGGAGAAGGGGCTGTGGCTGGGACTGGGGCTGGGACTGGGGCTGGGGCTGGTTGGTACCAGAGCTCGCATATGTCAAAATTGACGGATGTTATCAATCATTTTGTGCCGCTGCAGACAATTTTTAATGAAGGTTATAGACGTTTATAGACAGACAGACGGACGGGCGGACAGGCGGACAGGCGGGCGAACAGCAACAGCAACAGCAGCAGGAACAGGAACAGCAGTTGCTGCAGTGCAAAAGGCATTTTGGTCAGGTTAAACGGTTGCCTCACTACATCATCATCTTCATCACCATTTGCTGCTGCTTCTTCTTATTATTATTCTCTTTGCAGCGATATTTATTGTGGTTGTTGTTGTTGTTATTCTCCCGATTCTGGCGGTTGTTGCTGTTGTTGTTGTTGTTGCGCCAATTTGGGCGTATTCGCTGACTAGCAAAGTTTGCAAAATCGAAATGAAACAGCAGCTGTTCGAGCCTTGCCTCGCAAGGAGCTTAAATAGTTTCAGTTGTTCGATGAAAACAATTCTTGGTATTATCTTTTTGGGGCTCAACAGTTTTGGATTGTTTCTCTTTTCTTTTTGCAGTAGTCAACTTTTCTATGCGACTCTCCTCCATTGCACTCAAGTTTGTTGTCTTGCGCACTTTTTTAAATGCCCCCGATATTTGTTAGAGGATTCCGAGGATTCAAAAGGATTAAATACACATTCCTTACATGGCCTTAACAACTAAAAACAATCCAAAATTGAGATCAATTAGCGCTTAAGTTGTCAATGTGACCGATTTGTCAGAGCATTGTTTGTTCGTTGTACTCATCGCTTCTTTCTTCCCTCTCCGTTGGTTGTTGGTTGTTGTAGTTGTTGCTGTTGCTGTTTGTTGCTTGTTGTTTGTGGTTTTGCCCGCTGGCAGCTATTGCTTGTTGCTGGCTGGTGGCTGCTGGTTATTTGTTGTTGGTTGTCGCTTGTCGTTTGTCGCCTTTGTCGCTGCATTCGTTGCTTCTGGCGCGTTTTTAAAACGACACAAACTGTTGTTTGCAGACGCCGCCGTCACTCAAGTTGCCGTTGTTGTTAAGTGTCGCAATTTAAATATTGTTGAGTGAACTTTTGGCTACCGTTGGCCATTTATTTTGCGCTGAAATTTATGTAACGATGTGGAAAAATTGCCAATACTGCGGGAACGGGAACGGGAACGGCAACGGGGCACCGCTCTAGGCAACAGACCAAGCGTCCAACTATATATATGTATATATATATATATATATATACGTGTGTCAATCACAATCGCAGGTTGAAGAATCTATTTTGGCCACTGTGCGGCAGCCATTGACCGCTGGTAACGAGAATGAGGCACGTACAAAGCATTTTGCCCAACGTTTTCCGCGCTCAGCTCAACAAAGGCCAATAATTGTGTGTCCCAGCAGCAGATTCGACTCCCAGACTCCCAGACCCACATTGACCTAACTGCATTTATAATGCAACAGCAACAGCAACAGCAGCTTCTTCATGGCTCGCTGGGATGGGCCGGGCAACACCCAAAAGGCCAGCCCAAAAACACAGCGAGAGGCAGCCATGGATGGACTTTAGCAGCAGCTGCCTGGCCGAAACAATATAAATATACAATAGCAGCAGTTGCAGCAGCAGCAACAGCAGCAGCAACAACAAGCGGCAGCAACAACTTTTTGTGCAGCTTCTCTGCGGACTGTGAAAAATTCATTCCACATCAGAGCAAAAAAATCTGCTTCATCTTTTGTTACAACTCTCTGGCCAAAAAGCTCTTGTGCTGCCAGCCAGCTGCATGCTGCCTGCGCCATGTTGTTTACGCCTATAGTATAAATTCCCTCCCAACCAGCCCACCAGTCCTCCCCCTCACTGCCCCTCCCACCCCGGCCCCCTTATAAGACGTGACTAAAATGTTAAAGCCACAAGAAAGAAAATCCAAACCAGCAGCAAGCAACAGCAGCAGCCGTCGCTCAATCGCAATCATTTTTTCTTCTCTGCTCTTCTCTTCTCTTCTCTCTTTTTGTTTGCTTCTTTCTTTTTTCGACAACAAATCTTATGCAAAAATCCAAATAGAAATGCAGGCAGCACACAGAAAAATAAAAAAAAAATGGGAGGAAAAAAGCAAATCAGAAAATCGAAAAGTGGACGTGGCAAGGAGGCAAGCTGAGGCTGAGACGGAGGCGGAGGCTAAGGATGTGGCAGTAGCATTTGAATATATGCGGCGAATGCGTAATGCCCTTTGTCAGGCAGCTGGAAAATGACATTTCTATCTTATTTTTTTTTTTAATACTCTAAACCCATTGAAGAGTATAATGGAGTTGTGCGCAAGTATATATAACAGGCGGAAGGAACCAAACCTGACCCCATTCAGTAAATATATTCTAAGCCGTTTAACCATTACCCACTGTCAGTCAGTCTATCTGTCTACAGGGGCTAGAAACTACAAATTTAAATTTAAATTATTGTATACCGCAATCGCAGATGCCTTCATCCTTTGCACGATTAAAACAATTTCATATTTATTTTCATATTGAGCGAACTACCATCAGCAGGCGCAAGCATTTTCCGCTGACATGCACAAATGCGTGCATGTGGGAGAAGTGAGCAGCATGATAAGCGAAGCGAGCAGAGATCTATAAATTCTTGTATATATATATATATATATATATATATATATA